AAAATGTATCGTACACATACGTGACATACACTGTAGTGTCATAAATTGTCGATTTCACAAGTGATTGTTCTAGTTCCGACATAAACATATCTCTCGATATTAAACCCAGAGGACTCTCCATAATCACTCTACCAACTCGACGGTACAATATATCGTTGAATTGAAATTGAAGATCCCCAGTGCACATCAGTAGTAGTTGCTTGAATTCGTCTTTTGGTAAGGGAAGTAGGTCAGTGTATTGGCATTCATTACACGGTAATTGATTTTTATCAAAAAGAGACTTTCTAGTCATATTACTATAGCTTAAATTTACTACCGATGGTCAATAAGAATGTGATTTATCTGTTTTCAGCTAGGTCACTTTCGAAATTTATAAAAGTAATAAGTCTTGCAGGTTTGAACGCTATATTCGTCTCCTAAGCTATTCTGTAACCCCCAAGCTAGAACTAGACAGCGACCTGAACACCAGAGAGAAGACTCAAAGTATGCGAGAAGTAGTTTACTCCAAGGTTCATTTTAATACAGAAAATACAGGGTTTTTAATATATTTTAAATGTTCTTGGGTCGCTAGAAGATTCTGGAACGCTACTAAACATAGTAGCAGTGTAGCAGCCAACCAATCAGAACCTCTGCATGTGACGTTTCGCTTCCTTGATATTTTTGGCCAAGACTCCAAGAGAACGCTGACTGGATGAAACGCTTCTTAGTGTTTCCTGATGTTTGCTTGTCTTTTGCGATCACCCCAACAAAAAGCCACATCACATTTTTCTTTATGCCTGAAGATGGTGTCAGTTCAAAAGCAACAGGTGTCTGGAGTGAATCAACAATATTGATTTCACAATTTGAGATTTAAAATATAATTTACTAACTTTGCTGTATTTAATTAATTTCATTTAAACTTTATCCATTTCACTGGATGATAAATGATCTTTTTTTGTATAAATTAAAACAAGATCAATTCAAGAATTGAAAATTTAAAGCTTTTTTAATGTAAAAAGGTACATAAATTTTATTAAAATCATTACAGAAAAGAAAAATTTCAATATTATAAACAAAATATATTTATGTAACTACAGTATTTAAAAAAAATGCAATTAGACCGCCAATGAATAGAGTTTTGTTGTACAAAATAAAAGAACAATTTCACTCTTACAGTTTGAATGGTTTCATATCTTTGTCTGAGTAAATACAACAACATCAACAACAACAAAGCTATTTTTAAGAGAAATTACTTATCAGAGAATTATCAATATTATTGGTTCAATAATTATCAAATATTTTCTCAGATATTTTGTTTTAAACATCTATGATAATGTTAAATGATAAAGATTACTAATTATCAAATGTAAGCGTTAAAAAATATAAGTCATGTTACAGAATGTTAAAAATCGATGATGGAATAAATATTGATAAAATTTTAGATCATTATGAGTTATTTCGATGGGGAAATTTATTCAGAATACTAGGTGATTTTTATTAGGTCCGCTAATAATTAGGGATCATCGGATAACGGTTTCGTTCTACTATGAAATCACTGAGCAATGTGTACACGTGGATCTGATAGTAATAGTACATAGGATATTTGTTTTGCGAAATGAACTCTTATGAATTTGTAATCGTTGGGATTTGTTCATGTTGAAAGCGAATTAGTCATAAATGATATTAAATAACCACCATTTTATACCACTAATTGATTAAACTTTTAGATATTTACCACCGGATGTCAACCAAATGGTTCATTGATTAAGTTATCACCACTCCTTGGATAGCGTGTGTGCACTGATAAGGAGTCACATGTTAGGACAGAACAGTTGTCTAATGATCTCTGGTACCTAGTGGTAATTCAGCTCTGAATTAACTCAATGAACAACTCCTCAGTACTAAAATATCTTTACTCTCAGTCAAAATTTCTTGTTAATAAACTTTACTTGTAGTTATCCTTAATTATTCAGCTCCGTCTAATATCACATGTCTGAAGTTTCCATTACTCACTGAGTATACGTAGGGTAGCATCCTTGTAAATAACAACATCTCTTAAAACACTAATACGTTTTCACTAAAATCCATTATAATAACAGGATTGTTTGGTTAGAAAGATTGACGAATAAAAGAAATGATATTCCTAAGGCAGCTACTTCATAAAGATTAGATATTACACTCATCTTTATACTATACCTACTCATCAACAATTCATTTTTATACCTTTTTAAAATCCTAAACCTTGTATAAATATTTTTTCTTACGTTCATTAGTAAACTTATTGTTAGTCTACAATGTTTTCAAATACATACTACGATTAGTCTTAAATATTTAATTGAGTACTTAATGTGATACCAACTTTTCTTATTTAATTTCCGAACTCATCACAGGAAATAAAAATGAATGCAATTTGGAGTTAGAAATCAGTCACCATCTTTAATAACACTGAATCACATGATTTAAAAACATTTCGAATGATGTTGAATTTTAGATGCATATTTAAGCAGTTAAAAATTCTTATCCTTTTCTTGAAATAATTAAAAGTGAACTGTGATTTTCATCTATCATTTCTTTAAGGACGATTTTAGTTGTTTTTGAGGAACATTAAAATGTTTCAATATCTGGTTAAGTAATTTTTCGAGTGCTCTTTTGATGTTCTGTTCCGACTCATGAATTTATCAATTATGGTACAAACTTAATTGTATTATATAAAGCTCAACTCCTTAAGATTAGTTTCATAATTTATCTTTATCGGTTGATTAAGTTCTATGTTATGTCTAAGCTAGAATAAACTTTGTCATTGGGGTCGACTTAAGTCCCAGGTTTTTTCTATTGATCCTTACCTTTCTTCATAAAATTAGATCTAGTCAGAAATAACAAGACATATAGTTTACATATATATTGTATGTGCATTTTTGAAAATCCCATAATATATCGTTCTTGATGACTGGTATTAGAACGATTCTGGTATCCTGATTAAAAAGAAAAAAAATTAAAATAGTCCGGTTATTTCAGTAATTCAGTGTTGTATAACTCAGTCTCGACAAACATCAAATCAAAATTATATCATTAGTGACTTGCTACTAAAGATCCTTTAAGGTGCTGTTATGACACTTTGACTATTAGAGTCGATGAAGTCAAAGACTGACTGAAATCGGAACCTTTAGTTAGTTGACTCGAGCTTAGCAACCGAATCGCATTATACCTACCACGAAATCAATCTACTCAAATGTTTTTTTGTTGCATTAAAATTGTTTTTATACTAGCTCAAAAACAGAATTTCTAACTTCTCTCTAATATGGCTCTATAATGTCAATGAAAAGATTACGGTGAACTTTTCCAACTTACTTATTCCTAGACTAACAGCACTGTTGTGCATCAATATCAAGCATCGATATTCTGTACTCAATGAATTTATGCCATACGGGTGAGTTATACTTTATAGGCTTGCTTTTCAATGGAAATATCACCAAACACTATGATGAGTCAAAAAACGTAACCATCAAATCTTGACTAAGATTAAGCTTTTCAACAGAGGGTTTGAACGTTTGTTAACTTCATTAAAATACTATTTTCATAGTTGCGTATATATATATAGCTTGTTTATGAAGTCGAGCATGAACTGAACCTAAAATTAATATTTTCGTTCCTTTCGGTATTGCTTGAAAAAAAGGACACCATACAAGCCAACTAATAGACAATTACCCAAACTTAATCAAGCGCACGACTGAAGAGTACCGTTCTTTGACAAAATGGCCATCCAGTGCTTCAAGGATTTAATGGTGGTTTAACATTCATCGATTCATTATCTCAATCAAAAAACTCAACAATCTCCACAACCCTATACTGATAATTACCATGTGCTCACTAGTGACTTGCTTCAAGATGGATTTCCTGAAGTTCTAGCGAGAAGCCGTAGTCAGTGATGCCAATCCGTGTCGAGTGTGGAGCAGTTACACATCAAGGACAATAGAAGATAGTCGCACGATTTTGTGGATTGGTTGAAGTTAGACATAATCACCGATGAATGCCGGCTCAGTGGTCTAAAGGTTAGGCGTTCGCGTGGGATTAAAGGTCCTGGGTCCGAGTTCAGCGTACTGGATCGTGGATGCGCACTGATGAGGAGACACATATTAGTACATAACGGTCATTCATTGCTTTCAGGTTTTCAGTGGTGATCTAACATGATCGGTTCATGATTTCGATATAACTAAAAAATAACACTAAACAATCTTAACACTTTAAACGCCATTTTATCTATACATTGACACTCAGAAATATATTCTGACTGGAATATTTATATAAGAGATATAAAACGATACAATAGACGTGGGTGCACACACGTACCCGAGTACTAGTATAACAAGCACATAAAGTACTAGGGGTACAAAAAATGGACTATCAGTTATTTTATAATATGATTAATATTGGTAGTCATAGTTTTAAAAATAGTGAGATCGTTATAAACATTATTCTGGTTTTTTTCATTATTTTCGAAGGACGTATGAGTACAAATACAGTATTTAGATTAAAACGTATAGAGAGAGTGTGTCTGTTGAAGGTTACAAGACATTAAGTGAGTCCAAAAAGGGAAATAACGATTATAATAAAAATAAAGAGAATAATAATGCAAGAGGTCATGAAAGAGGTAAACATATAAAGACAACTAGACAGCGAAAGTGAAAAAAAACAAACAAATTAGTCTTTTCAAATTAGTAATCAAAACTATTTTGGTTCTTGAACATCTTCAGTTTAATCGTTTGAAATTATCTAGGAAACAAAAATGCTACTTTATTTCAAGGAAGTGATATTTAAAAATTAAAAATACTAATGCTAGTGGTCATAGTAATAATCGCTGGATATTTATTATAGTTATTATCAACATTCACACAATGATATACACTTGTTAAAATACATGTGTTTATTATTAATGTGAAACTGTTTACATAGATGAGAAGTTTTCAACCTCCTTATATATTGATTGATTTCATCACTGGATACAAAAAGAGGGATTGATGAATTTACTTCAATCTCCGTAAAAGGTTTTGTATAAATTCCTTTAAAATAAAAGAAAAGCATATCAGAAAAATGTAAATGAAAAAATAAATTATTGCCATGCAATTAAATTTTCGTTATAAAGCTAAGAATATGGACTCGTAATGAAACGCTTTGGTATTCATGAAGAAAATGTGTTAAGTTTTATCTGTTAACTATCCTCAATGAAGTCTTGAATTGAGCTTTGCAGTAAAGTCCAGAAAAAGTGCTTTAAGGCATCAGCTCAAAATGCACACGTGCTGACAAACACTGACCATTTGTAGCCGTAAATATCGACAATAAATATGATATAAAGTCTTCAAAATTCTCATGAAGACATTTGAAAAATAAACCAATTTCCTTTCATTTATCTTTATATTATTTCTTTACATTACTGTAATATAGATTTTACAATTTAAAATCAACATCCATCGAATGATTGTCAGTTAATTAACAGTATGTAACTAGGTTTAACACCATCTAGAATCAGTCAGTCAGCTACAACGTAGGACAAGGCACAATTTATAATAGACATGAGCAGTTGGTAATAACATGAGTGAGAAATTGATCAACTGGTTACGTCACCATAAAAATAAGAATGGGTTTTATTCTAGCTCACTTAACGTTTTTATATAAAGGATACTGAATATAAAAACAAAACATGATTACAAGTCATTTTAAAACAAACGATTTGGGGATCCCAGTCTTGTATATTATTACTTGCACACCAATAAAACTAAGATCCGACTATCTGACCTCATTTTCGCCAATCATACCATAAGTAAACATGACAAAGAAACTCAGAAGGTACTGGAATATATGTTGTGATATTGCAAAGCCTCTTTTTGCGAACCACTAAAACCCAATCAAATTCTTTTCATTGTAAAAAAACGTCAAAACAGTAAACAATTGCATCTACATTACATGTTAAAAATACGGATAACTGAATATAGCAACTAGAGATAACTTGGTCATATAGTATTCATGAAGTCCAAAATTTAAATGGATGAGTCAGTTGTCAGATTTAGCTGAATACTTTTTGTTTAGCAAATAAAACTGGTTACACTACATAATTTAAATATCCCTATATCATTAAAGGGTACTACTATGTAGAAGAATATCTATTAAAGTTAAAGATTCATTGTTGTTTCTGATTGCTTTATAACCAATAAATTCAAATTTCCGTTAATTCACAGAAGTAAATTTATTATCATAAAATTTGGATAACTGTTGTCTATTCTTTTGAAACTGACTGCTTTCAAGCGAAGTTAAAAGTAAATGTACGTAGTAAAAAGACACTTGATAAAGAAAGATTACGAAACACTATTTGTTATAATCGGGAGGGTAACAAGCAATATTAATTTCATTTTTCAGTCGTCTATGAAATACAACCAAATTTTAGGGGGCCATTATATTAGTTATATCTGTTGACCGTTGACAGTTCTGTTTATTGTATTGTATATCTATTATAATTTAATAAATTATGGATTGACTGATATTAGATACGACTCAATTCAATTTATACAAACCTAACCCAAAATAAATCGCACAAAATTTAGTGTAATCAGATTTATTTTAAGGATGAAATAAATCTTTACCCATCGTCTTCCAGCTCTTACTTATGTAATTTCATTCATGATTTCCAGCAGGTGATATTTTTATACAACTGTTGTATAACAGGATAGAGGTCCTTCATCTTATGAACTTTTCGAAATTTTAGATTTTGTTAAAGGTTTAGAGTTAAGAACAGGCATTTCAATAACATTCATTAGTGAAAATTAATTAGAAAAAACATTTTAATTTGTTAAACAAAGTGGTTTCGTTTTTATTTCGTATTGAAGAATTGTTAATAAACAAATAAGTTTACAAGGTTTTTCTAACTATACGTGACCATCAGGTTTTGTGATGAACGTATGGACTTTCGGCTACTGAATAGACATTCAACCGTTTACATTTCTAGCAGGAATCAGTTCATGATTTTTCGCAACCAAATTCAAATGCCGTTGTTCAGTAAGTGTCTTACACTCGAGATTACTGAACTCTTTCCATCACTCTTTCTCATTAGAACTTATGAAATCACCGCTCGAAACCAGTCATTGGAGACTTCAATCGGGTCACCCATGAGGATTACTGAGTAGTTATATATAAATAAAAAAGGTTTTCTATGGCGTCCTAGTTTTCACTAACTATCTAACAATGGTCAGTTCGTAATTTAAGACATAAAAGTCAACAATCCCTACAAATCTCTTAAACTAAGTAAGAATGCACATCCCCCATATTTTATTTCATTTAGAATTCTCGTTGGAAAATCTCTCAGATTATTATGGCTCAACCTATTACTTATTGTCCTATGTGATTGAATTTAACCTCATTACATACAGTAAACGTACTAGTTATATACTATCCAACTGAAATTTATATTTTACTGAAAAATGTCATATTATTTTATTAAGTTCTTTTCTTTAATCCTCTCATTATTTTTTGACATAATGAAAAGAACATTTTGTGTTTTCTTTTTCTTGCATAAATATTGGCACTAGTTTAAAAAAAATACAAAATACTATGGTTACGAAACAAATTAAATAGTTTATAATATGATGATCAATAATTTTTGTATGGTTTGTTTTTATTAATAGTTTAGATGATAATTATGTGCTGATTATGACTCCATCTTTCCTCTGATGGTCTTGTAAAATTAGCTAATGTGTAGTTCAATAAATACTGAGAGAGATGTTTTCAAATTAAATGACTAATTAGGAAAATTTTAAATACATGAAATCACTTTTTAGAAATAATGCCTTATAACAGTGTGTGATTCCTCAGCAGTGCCCGTCCACGACCCGCACATGGGATTCAAACCCAGTGCCTTAGGTCTCGGGCGCGAAAGCCCAACCTCAAAACTACTGGTGTGCGGTGCTGAGGAGTCCCATCCAGTGCTTCCAGGTTTTTGATGTTGGTTTAACATTCATCGACTTATGATCTCAACCACAAACTCAACAATTTCCACAAATCCATACTGATAAATTTGTGTAAGTTAGGGGCATTTGATTGCACGATTATTTGATTACTAATTGGTAACCAACGTCGCGTCTTTCTAGTTCTTTAGCTCTGATTGAATTCTACCAGTCGAAATACAATGTGGTCTCTAGTCTAGTTGATTCGGCATGCATGGGTTTGTTTGAGATGATAGGTGGTTGAAGGTAGTTCACAGAAAACCCTGGACTTGAGTTTCGTGTTAATTGTCGCTTGTCGGTAAATTTCGCCTTCTTTCTTGAAGGAACCAATGCCTCATGTATGATTCGAAGCCGAGTCACGTAGCTTTACATCCTGAGACACTATCACCAGTCTGGATATTTCTTAACATCACAAAACTGAGTTGCAATTAACTTTCAAATAGCCATCAAATTAAACAAGATCGAAATTCTTCTCAAGTCTTGGTAATGAATAAGTTGACTAAAATAGACGATATTGAAACCACTGGGCTTTAGTTTTGTTACGTAAAGGTATTCTTTTCGTCACGATACCTTAGGATTTCTGGGTTTATCAGAGGTGAACGATAGGGAGTCCAGAGTAATATGGTGTATCAACGTCATAAAAGCTCAGTAAACCAACTGGGCGTCAAAATGATGAAACCATAAACTTCTCTCAACCATATCAGTTGGTTTGACGATTACAAATTCCAAGATATATTTAACAGATTTATGTCAAAATACATTTAAAGGTTATTAAATATCTGACAGATTTAAATACTTAATTTCTTAAACTCTAACTTTTGTCCATTATGCTGTTTCATAAGAGAATAACTCAGAAACATAAGATCTCAAGATTTTCCAAGTATATAATAACTATAGTTAAAATGAATTACGAAAAATTTATTCTCTTAGCTCATCGGTCACAATATGAATATTATAGGTAGTATTGAGATGACATTAACGACTAAACATGCAAGACTGATTAATATAGATTGACATATTTGTAGTAATTCTACTGCGTAAAATTCATAAACCTAATAAAGGGACTTTTTTATGTAACTATATCTAAAATAAAACTTATTTCAAAGAATACACTGAGTAAGTAAAAAAATTACCTTTATATGCTAAACCCTCGCGGTCGATTTCTTTGAGATTTAACACTTAAATAAGTTTATCCAAATTTTACTCACTATTCAATCTTAAGAATAAATAATCAATTATGCACACTTATCGCTAGCACAAATAAGGTGAAAAATTGTAATGATTAAAATGTTAAATGCTTTTATTCTGTGAATGAACAAACAAGCACTAGAAGCAAACACTTTTTTAGAAATCCGTCGATGGAGTTACAAATATAACATTATCTGACAATTTTGCAGAATATAAATACTTGGCATAATATTTTAGTCATCTATGTGTTTTCATATTTCTATAAACAGACAGTTTTCTTATAAGTTTTCCTAAAAACAAATGATCAAAAATCTCACGTATTTTTTATTTCTATCTATTAATTAGCATTAAATCTGATTTTTGTAAACATTCTAAAGCCTTCGTTCTTTCGTGATTTTATATGAGGCTAGCCTCGTTATGTTTGAAAATCAGATCAACTATTTTATAACCTTTAGTTGATTCCACTAGTGGCGACGAAAATGAAATATAATTTTTCATTTCATGTTGTATACGAATACTTAGGCTAATCACATTGTTAGTAATAAGTGTCAAATACGAAATGTGTTGAAAGCGTTAATTTCAAACATTTATATGCAAGCAGAAGACAAAAAATGAGTGAATAGATAAATCTTTGGAGTTGGTAACTCATGAACTCAAGAAAGCTAAGCTACAGTATTAATGAAAAATATTTCAGATATTATATTATGTTGTCGAAATATCTTTTATGCAAATTTATGTGTCTAAATGGACTGATTGTTCATTATACTCTGTTTTACACAAATAAATAACATTTATAAATTGTAAGCATTTTTTATCTCAACTTTAAAAAGAAATATGATTCGATACCAAGATACGAATAAAGATAGTCGTGAAATAACGGTCAGTTAAATAATCAACCTTTAAAACTGTACTAAAGATAATAATAAATTTTTTCGACCGAATAAGAAATGAGAATACTCTGGAAGCATTTGAAATAGATATATTTCATGCTTCGGAATAGTAAACGCCAGACAAACAATAAGTTATGCAGTTAGTGTGTAAAGCACTGGAGTTCGATAGTACACCAATCTAAAGTATCTTAAGCTGACTCCACTTTTATAAGCCATGTAAAAATGCAAGAAAGATAGATGCGCAGAAGAACATATGTAACGTCTTACAGGTTACAAGTGAACTATTAATAGAATCAAATTTACAAAATAACCAGTAATATCCAAACCGTTTGTCTGTCCATGAACTAGGATAAACTCATGTGTGCACTATAAAAGAAGTCACTATAATTGTAAAACAATGTGATGAAAAGCGTCAATGTGAAGTATTCACGGTATTTGATTTGTATTAACTTATAAACCAGCATGATTACTAAGTCAATTTAGATTAAATACATATTCTAATTACATCAGCTTCATGTTTATTAATGAACTATTAGAGATGATCATTGATTAAATGGCGAAATAAGAGATTCTACTTGATATACAAAGAAATTTACCTAAAATGAAATTCAGCAAAACTTTCGACACTAAACACCTTGAGAATACAGCAAATCAGATTAATATCTCAGAAGCTTCATCAATAATAAATGGAGAAAAGGATATCAAAATTAAATTGTTGCTTAGGAATTACTTCTATGATAGATTTACTTTGGAATCAATGTATCCTACAAAAAATCCATAGTCATTCGCCGAAATTTTCAATTACTTAATTTTTGCTGTATTCTAAAATTTCCTGTCATTTATTTTTAAAATAAACAAGTAGTTCATCATAACTGATATCAAATCAACTGTTATATCATATTTGGATTTAATCGGAATCTACTGTAGATGTCGTGAACACCCAAATATTCTTTAATGATAGTTGTTATTTGATATAACTTGAATAATAAATAAAAAACATTTGTTGTTTTTAAAATGCATTATTTTACAATAGAAGGCTGTCTCTACCATTTACAATTTAAAAAATATTCGTTGTAGGACATATTATTTGAATGGTTCTTGTATGCTCTACGTTTTACAAAGAAAATAGTTTGAAAATTTTATTGAAATAAACATTTAAACAAAATAGGTCTCTACATATTCTTTTTATCACCTATTGGCTCTGTTGGAGAGAATCACGGAAACCAAGTTGCACTGAACAAGTGTTACATTCTAACTTGAAGATTCCTCAATAAAGTACAATATTACCCAATAAGATATTGAACCAAGGATCTTTAGATCCTGTAACCAGCATGATATTTTTCGGGTGAACAGTGAAATATATTTAGATTACATTAGAGTAAATGTTCAACGGCCGTTTCAAGCCACATAAAGATTAAAAGTAACAAACGTTTTTAATGAAAGAACAGAATAAACGAAATGACACATGTTAACAGCAATACAAAAATTTCCCTCTATTTTGATTAAAATCCTTTGTATTACACATTTACAGTGACTTGTAACAATAAACAGTGAATTAATGATGACAAATATATAATGCACTAACATTTTTGAGTTTTTCAAAACATTAAACAAACATTTGAGAATCAGTAGGTTTTACTTATTTAATTCTCTTCCCGTATGTGTCCGCCCTTGTCATTTTGAACTTATAATCTTACACACATTTATATAATCCATATATGGATAAATTTTAATACAGTCTCTATCATTCTAGTTCTAAAACGAGAATAGCAAGTTCACCTGATTTGTAAACTGAGTATGAATAAAAGATAAAACTCATAAAAAACATCATGTAATTCCATAAGGTAATACCAAAAAGTGCTAGATATATTTTTCAGTAAATTTGACATTGTAAAACGACCTATTGTAGTGAACAGAACACGTGTGGGGACAATCGAATGTATTTGACACGAACTTACAGAACTTGTCAATAAAATCTAACAATCATAAATTAAATACGTAATTTGCAAAATGTCCATCAGTTGTCTCATAATGACTCAGACTTCATTGTTCTTGCATTTTCATACAAATTGCATTCTGTTACCATTCTTTACTGTTCAATCCTTTTGTCTCTCTGCAGCCAGACATTTTGTTCCTGACTAACATCATATACTACTTATGTCGATATAAGTAGCACACACCACACTATCATGTTCAAACAGTTAAGTAAAGTTCACATGCTGATATTGTTAGAAAAGTTTACTACCGTATAAAACATTATGCTGAAAGCAATTCCGGTCATTGAAATTCAAACGATTTCAGATCTTTGTTAGTTAGACTAATCTAGGTCTTTCCAAATAACAACTTAAATTCTGATCGCTGATATTATTTTGATTACGCCTTTTTAAACGATGTCTTCTGTATATTCGGTTTTCAACTCTTATTGAATCTTTTTTAATTTGACGAATTTTCAGAAAAATTACACTAACTTGTAATATTCCTGTAAATTGTTATGCCCGTCTCCTAATGTCTAGATTAGTCGGTTTTACCAATCTTTACCACTCGATGCCCAACATAAAATATTTCCAGTTAAAAAATTCGAACAAAATAATTGGCCTTTCATTGTTGTCATTATAATTAATACTTTTATTATTGCTATTATTACTAGTTGTGATCTAAGGTCACTATCCAGATTTTAATTGTATAACAAACGAAGAAGCGACCAAACATAGGATGAAACAACGACAAATATTTAACCGAATTTGAGGTCAACATAAGACTTTAAATAAAACAGATATTAATTTCTGCACTTAAACGTTCTACAAAACTAGAAAAAATACTTATCTGGTAGAATGAGTACATTAAAACTATTATAACTTGATAAATCTGTGACCATCTTGTGTGGCTTTTATAGCACAAACTCGTTCATACGCTTATTTTACACTTTGATTCAGAAGTTAGCGGAAGCAAGGCGTTGTCAGTTCTGTTATATAATGCTGAAAGTAAAATTTAGACCATGATTGTTCTTGGGGGTTGTAAATTTCTCTTGATGACATTCAAAAGTGAAATGTGATCAGTTTTTTATCGTCGAATAATGGGCTTAGGCAAATAACTCAGTATCACCGCGGAATTTTGTTATAGTGTATTTTGGATTGTGGCCAGCATTAAAGTTCAGGACCTGCTGGGACCCTTATTCAAGGGCTCGTCAAATAGTTGCAACGGCGTCTCAATGTTGATGTTGACACTTAGATCTTATCTTATGTTCATTACTTAAAACTGATTTACAAATTATTTTGGTTTTATATGCTAATTCAACATGTCATCAAAAACCATACAAGGTTTTTGAGTGAAAATGTCACGAAAGTTTAAGCAAAATTTGATTCATTATCAAATAATGGATTAGAAATTTTTCGCAACTAGTTAAATAATTATGTAATGACGTCCTTTTACCTAGAAATCTATCCAACTTTTCAGTCAAGAGCGTAATTCTGTTAAAGTCATGTGAACTAAAATATCTATTAGTTAAAATCTTGACAGTCAAATAAAAAGTAATATCTATAGTTGTTGAAGATGTTCTAATCGTAAATATTTCTGTAAAGTACAGTTAAAGCGGATTCTTGTGACTTCTGGAATAGCTAAAGCTCCGTGTAAATTTTAGTTGGCTTTATGAACTCTATTCAAAGTACACTACTATATACTTGAAAGCTTTTATGTATTTCTCAGTCTTTAGTTATACATGAAATCACGACTTTTGAGACGCCTTGTTATTTGAATAATATTTTTGGAGTAAACCACCAAATAATTTAATGTGCTTCTTCCTGGCTTTCAGTTCAGTTTTTTATGTGAAGACTAATGATTCTTACTAGTTAATAAAATTTGGTCTGTTACAATATTGAACTAGTGGTAAAGTGGTTAAAGACGATGTATCATAGCCATAAGCTTACAGCTGTTCACCTATTATTCATAAGTAATATTTCTGTCTTCAAAAAGTAACCAAATGTCACCTAAAACATTTATACACTTTAGAAAGCAAATAACCCGAATTAAGTGGGAGAGTTACTTTGTTGTGTTTGTTTCTACTAGTTAGGTCAGTAGATCTTCAAGTTAATAAATGTTATTCAAAAACAGTTTTAGTTTCAGCAGCAAACGTCAAAATATTTACTGATTATATGAAAATAGATTCATAAAACCTAATACTTCTAAGTTTATTAACGTGTAGAATTACTTGTGAAAAACACATTTTTCTAGGTCAACTTCTACGTCGCATATCGATTAGTCAGAATTAATGTAGTAATCCTTCCCCTCATACTTTTGCACAAAGTTAAAGATAATTTACAATCGGAAAACAGAAAATCTCATCTGTCAGAAAATAACTAAACAGCATTACAAATCTTTTATTGACTATAATAATAATGTCACATAAAATAAGGATTTTCCTCAGTCTCCAGCATCTAATTTTACGAAAATAGCAGTTTCGTGTATATGCAGAACTAAAATAATGAGGCTTTCTTAGTCACAGAGTGTTCATATAGATTGGCTTACTTCCTCCTCCGTTATATCTGACTAATGTTTACGCCTAGGATACATTATATCATATATAACTTTATATTGGTCATTACATGGAAATTTCCAGAATGTCTTCAGCCTAATCCCTTTCCGATACGATGAATAAACTTGTCTAAATATTAAACAGTAACTAGTTTTACCTTAATTTATTGCTTGTTTATTACTAATGCTATTCGGAATTTAAATTTTTAAAGAATGGACAACACAATAATCAAAAAGGCTAACATTTGGAGAATCATAGTACAAGATATTGGGCAAAAACGTCTGTGACGGCTAAAATGATGCAAATAGCTTCATAATAACCTATAATTGAATGACTTAAAACGTTAAGGTGACGCAAAGTAGTATAATAATGTGAAAATTATGACAAAACAAAAAATGATAGAGAAAGTGCTTACATCGATTTGCTCCTGTTTAGCCGGACAGGACTTTAGCTTTTCCTAGGCAAAACAATTTAGAACAAAAAATATATTCAGTCACTTTCAAAGTTTGCACTTTCTCATCATTTGTCTTAAGATCACTTATTTCATCCAAATCGATATCACAATCGTAGTCATCGACCTTCAGGACCGGATATGTCAAAAATTTCACACTGACCTCTGTGCAATAAAGAGTACGAAGGTGTTCGAAAACAAAATTTTCAAGCCGAATTTTTTCGCTAATTTTCTGACGAGTCCTCCTATCGTACTTTGCAGTTAAATAACGTTTACGTTTTGAATGATCTGCAGGTGCATCAGCGGCAAAAACCACCTCTCGGTTTTCGCTTTTTTCAGAAAACCCGTCACTGCTTTCACCCACTTCCTTGCCTAAATTCATTACTTCAATCCATTTACATAGGTATATCGATAACACAAAACATTTACGAAAGGTTTAAGAGATTGTGTAAAACGTTTTAGGATAATCAAACACAAATCAATGTACAACAAATTCATTTAAGAATGGGGTAGTTATTTTGTATTGTTGCACACAGTCTAGTTTTTCAAAAAGTTGCAATATATCATATCATGTTTCCTTTGTTCTTTTTTATCACTTAATCGACTAGTTATTTTATAAGATGCATTTGAGAACATCTTAATGATGAGTTTGTTTGAAACATATGCTTTCGCTGTGTTCGCTTCTCGGTGATAGGTTTAATTATTATACATACAAAATAAATAGTTAAGTATCAAAGAAAATCTGACAATGCGAATTCATTTTCACATAACATCATATTACATTTAAAGCGAAGTAATTAAATGTGGATAAAGATCAGTTAGGAAGAATAGAACTGCACATCTTATTGAAAAATAGGTGAAGCACCGAGTAGTCACTGAAACATAATTGTCGTTGTTATAACAGCTTCATCGAAGGTTGGCGAAAATTATGCAAATTCTCTTTTTTATCTTGCTGAGATTAATGGATTTGTATGGCGACACCTTCGAACTCAGAGACCTGACATTCATTGAGATGTATTTTACTCACAATAAGCTCTCACATTACTTACGTTGCCATGGATTGGTGTTTCACAGCTCTTCCAACTATATAAATGCTAACACCAAAAATTTTAGTCGCGGATATTCATCCAAAGGACACACAGAGCCCGGCATTAATCTAGCACGGATCTCTCAATGAAATTATCGTATGAGAAAGATGCAGAGACCTTTTAATTATTCACTGAAAGATATGTGGTGACTTGTAAAATTCGACAGTTTAGGTAAGCTATAGGGAATTTCGTCAGAATTTCTGATTAAGTTTCAAAGGCATGTTTATATTCGTTTTGCTAGATACCATTCATACTTCACCTACAAACTATATGAATAATCACAATAACTTAGATTGTTAGTTTATTAATATCTGAAAGACAGTCCAAGTAAATATATACATCATAAGCGAATGAATCAGAATATGTCAAAATAATATTATACTTTACTGCATATATCTAGTTACTCTTGGTCCCTTGCTCTGTCTTTGGCATTTTTCTTGTTATGGATAGATGAATGTTGCAAAAGATAGGATTCAAATTGTAGTACTACTAGCCTTACTAATTGATGGTCTTTGTATTCCAGCAAACCACAGCCTATGATGTTTGGGACACTACAAGACAGATGCTATCCTCAACCATACTATGTATATTTAACTAATTTGAGTAACATGTCTGTGCAAATGAAACAACAATTGACACTTGCTTAGTCTAGTATTCTTGGTTGTCGTATAATTCAGTTTATTCCATAGAATTATAATATACTTAAGTATAATGCTTGAAGCCTGTAACGAAACAGATCAGTTTAGTAAGTAGAGCTGACTGTCTTTAATGAATATACTGATTCAAATCAGTCCGATTAAAAATAGGAGAAAGGTGCCTTTGATGCTGTTGCTGTCATACATGATAAGATAGCGATAAGTGTGTTTGGTGTTTATTTGTAAACTGTACATCTATCACTGACCATATTTCAACATCACTGTCATTAAACGATTTCCCCAGCGTTAACATTGGTAGCAGGATAGCTAAGTGTCTGTACTTTTAGTTGCCTGCAAAACAGTAGTGTACAGTCCTAGAAGAGGAGTGTCATGTGTCTCAATTAGATGCAGCTGACTGTGGACCAATGTTAGAAACTGATAGTTGGGAGTACATTTACGTAAGCTTGAAATCTTCTGTAGACCGTGACCTCATATCCATCTAAAGCATTATTGATGGCGCAGGGTAGTTACCCATTCCATATGTGTTTTCGGTGGCATATCTTGAGATGGCTAAAAAAAGAGGGTAACAAAAGGATGGATGACAAGCAAAGCATACAATGTACACGCATATTGAAATTGAGTCATTTGCAGTGAACTAGTGAATGTATAACTACTAAGCCTTATTTTCTATTAAAAAGGTACTTTTTAAGCAAGAGAATTTTAGTAGGTTAAAAAAACAATCGTGAATATAGTATGAATGGACAAAGAACTGGATAAATGGAGGTGGTTCAAAAAGGAACTGCATGTAAAGGATTATGTGAAGTTTTAAAATATAGCACTAAAAACGGTATTCTGATACACAAATGTCTATTTCTTTCTTTTGTCGAAGCTAACACAGCTCATATTTAATTTTATTTGTTCTATAGGGTCATCAGCAAGCTTCGTTTTTAGCGAATTGTCCAGTTTTGCCTCTCATAGGATTACTCGGTAGGAAGTGAAACCAACTTAACGTCACAAGCACGATTTAAAAAAGTATTTTGTATAAAAAATTAGCATTATTACTATTAGTTCGTAACATCCTACGTGATCATAAGGAGCCATAATTTAACAAAATGTTCTGCACCACAGACATGGGTGGATCAAATTTATTTCCTCTCCATCATGTTTGCTGTTCAGTGACGCTACCCTCTCTCCTTTAGTGATGATAGGCTCTCCTACGTTTGTGGTGTGTATGAGTATTGCTCTAATCTAAACTCCTTGTTCGAATACACTGTCTCTACTAGTTCCATGTTACAAGCAAATCAGATGGTTAAAGCCTCTGTATTGTGGGCTAGATATCCATTCAGTATATCACTCTGCTATGACGATGACTAATGGTAAAAGCTAAAAAACCCAGGTCAGATTATATGTGCTTTAGAGATGGTAAGGACCGAAAGCAAGTCAAGAATATGCAAGAGTTTAAAATTGTACAGTTTTCGCAGTAAGAAAACAACACATTGAGCGACCCACAAGAATTTAGGACATTTTGAGCTTCTTGTGATCAACCCTAGTTGATCAGCATCCATGAAATTGGTAAGTTATTTGTCTACTTGTAATAGAAAAGAAGAACATGACATTTAAGGAGATTAATTCAATTTTAACCATTAGAGATATTCGGAATCTGAAAGTGAGGAGTTGGAACATAAGGGAATAACTAATAATCAATAAATAATGGGAGAGGGTAAACCATGTGTTTTATCATTTGATTATATCGATATTGATGATAATGGTGGTCTTTTATATTCATGATCGGTCTAGATATTAGACGGGCCATAATAAAGTGCCTCATTGGTGGTCGGAAGTCGATGAAGCTTTTTAGTGTCAAGTAATAGTGTTATTAGTTGTTTGAACTTGATGATAGTATCACGGTTAAGAATTGGTATTGGTAACCCATTCCATAATAAACTATACCGTACTGTAAGAACCTTACAACGAAATATTTTACGGTGTTTAAGTGCAAGCAGTGTATATGTGTTGTTTCTGAGTCTGTAGAGTGGGTTATGGGTCATGGTTGGGTAGGAGGTTAGAAATGAGAGTTCATATATTGCTCTGTGTAGAAATATTAAATTATTCTTCGGCCGACGATACCATAAAGGTTCTAAGGAGATGTGCTTACATCTATCTGTGTAGTTAAGATTGGAGTCACATCCTAGTAGTCGGTGGGTGAAGCGTATTTGGACATCTACTCTTGTCTGTGTATTTATGTTTGAGAAGATAAAGGGGCAATATTCAAGGGAGGATCGTATACATATTTTGCAAAGAGTAAGCTTATCCCCTGTTGTAAACAAATTCTTTTATCAATGAGTGGATGTGTACATAGGTTCATTATCATATATAATATGTTTATCTTTCGTCTAAAGAGATTATGATGCTTAACTTCTGATTAACTTGGGACAGGATAGAGGTGGCTCTATCACTTATCTTCATCGTAACTCTTAGTTTAGATTTCAGATAACTTTCCTGCAGTACACTGAACCCTTTTAAGATGGGATTACATTTACTCTAATGGTCAACTTTTTTTCTTCTTCTCATGGTCATTTGCAGTTTTGTGTAAAGTTCGCCATTCCTTACGCAATATTTTTAAATGTACTCAAAAGAGGCTTCAGTAGTTATAGAAATATACCCTAAACTGATAATATTGATAACCTTGAAAATGCGTTATGCCCTTTCCGTCCTCTGAACGGTCGAAATTCTGAGGTTTCTGACCGATGCTGCCTAGGAACATGATGCGATGTGATACGGCGACAAGTACCACTGAATTTCGTTGTTGAACCAAATATTTGGATCACCATTATTCGTCAATTTACTGTTTCATCCATTTGTATTAGCATATTTCTTAATTGTTTAGTTCAAAATAGCCCTGACTTACGGCTCGGTCATTGATGTATGAATTGTTTAATTGACAGAAACAATCAGACTGCATCATAAGGCAATAGCCAATATGAAATCCTGAAGAGAAGAGGAAAATAGGAAGATCAAAAAGCAAACTGCTTGGGTAATTGGTAGCAGATATCAGCAGAACTATTCTTATTAATGGCTTTATCAAATATTGTATTTTTGGTTCAACTTAGAATATTCAACGCATGGCATTTCGACACGTTTCTCTAACAAAAAAGGAAAAATGTGAAAAAAACTGGTAACTGCATACACATGATGGAACAAAAGATACCGGCTCATGTTATTTTCCTCAAAATCATGAAAATGTTTGATACAGTACCAAACTCGATAATTATAGCGGAAATGCGTTTTACTGATCCAGTTGTATTTCAATTCCAAACCTACGTGTAGAACGGGATGTTCTGTACTAATGTAAATAAATTTTACGTGATCGATTTCACGGGGTCTTCACACCAGGAGCTTAATGGAGGGCCACCCAAGATATTCTCCCTGATATTTTTTAATGATCTTCTACATATAATCATTTCAGCGACACTAATTTATGTGAACAACGCGAAGATACAGAAGTTCGTGAGAAGCGGAAAGTAGGGAGGGGACTCAACCAAAACAAATGTAACTACTCAACCTACGCAAATACAACTTGATGCAGCAACATGCGAATCCATTCTGCTATTGTTTAAAGTGTCCGTCGCTACGTTTTAAAGTCCACATAATTGTTACGC